TAATTTCCCGATTTTTCCATTCAGAGTTCAAAACAATGCACTGCTTGATTTCACACTTACTACTGGAAAAAAAGTAAAAGCTCTTTCTGTACTTTCTTGTAGAACAACAATGCAAATGTTCTGAGATGGGTACAGATAAATCACTGACTGCAGACACTGGTCCCCAACTTGCAGCTCTCAAATATGCGACATGTTAGTACCTCCAACACTAGCTAAACCTTTTATTTTTCTCTTCTGCAGACACTTCTGGTTTTCATAAAGAATGTATGTTGCCACACACCACTCATTGCTCAGGATTGATGCTGCATGAGGACTATCACATTGAGAAAACTGTCTTCCTCATGTCTTCAATGTTGCAATATTATTTTAGTCTCTTACATGCTTGTTAATAATAATAAAAAAAAAAGATGTACTATTCCCTACTAGCCTTTCACAAGCTGCTTTAAACACAAGTCCTCAGTAAGCACTAAGTTTATTTGCACAGATCCTACTGCAGAATCAGACAATAAAATGAGAGTGCAATGTCTAGTGGATAGTGCCTTAAACATCAAAAGTGATCATCCCTATGGCTAATCTGCATTTTTAATCAGAAATCATGTAAAAATTCTGCTTATTATTCACTTTAAAATATAGCAGCGCAATTCAGCATGCTGACGGATACAGAAAACAACCCTCACTCAAGTCTGAAAACGTAGACTGTGTCTGAAAACCTCAGTCAAAACTCTAAAAAGGAATATAATTTATGCTGTTACGAATTTATGCATGAATTTAATAAATGTAAACTGGCCCAGCTGGTATAGATCTATATAGATAATCATACATCCTAAAACTCTTTTTTTTTTTAAAAAAAATTTAATGCAATGCTTTAATGACGGAAATTTATAGTTTATGGCCTGATTTTTTTCTTTCTTTTTTTTTTTTTAAAAAAATTAAATTTTAAAAGAATAACAAAGATATGTAACTACACTGGACACAGTTTCCTTAGGATTTTTCAATTAAGCACAACATATACACAACTGCAGTGTTTTGTCTGTAGATAATCCATGAGGAGATTTTACCCTAGCACATGAATATTCTGCAACGCAATAGTCACTGCTGATCTTTGCTATTTGTGGACTGCTTTAGAGTTTATTAGAAGTGAGTTCATGTCTGTGAGTCTACTACTGCACCATTACATTATAGAGAACATCACCCATGTTTTCAGGCAATCTCATTTTAAAGGGTTAGTCTGACACGTAAGATGATCTACAGCTTTATCCCTAATAATTATAGTTCTACTTGTGTATGTTAAACAGATTTGTGCACATAAGCTTTCAGATTTTTTTTTTCCTGACATGAAAAAGCAAGGGAAGGGAAAAGATTAAAAAACGATACAAAAACATCCTGAAAAAAATAACTTTGTAATAACCACAAATTACAGCTGTTATGACAAAAATGTTTTTGTAATAATCCTGTGCATCTGCTGCTGTAAACACTTGTATTATTTTTAATACAGATAATCTAGAAATATATCAGCACAAGATTCACAGGGCATGACTCCACCCACGCTGTATTTGACCAGCATGAGTGTTCCACTTGCCTAGCTTTCCAGTAACCGTAATATTTATTGGGCACACAAGTTTTAAGAAGAAACAGACCAGACTTTATACTTGCCGATACTAGTTTTGATACATAGACTGAGAAAACAATACAAAGCCAACACTTAAACACACTTCTCATATTTGACATTGGTATTCATATAATTACTTGAAAAGGCAGGCAATTATGCTGGCTCTCTCACGTATCCTTCCCCAACCGCATACTCCGTATCAGCTCCACCTCCATTAAGACGCATCTCAACAGTAAGACCATTCACAAGACTTTCACCACCCCCTACTTAAAAAGCCTTGTGGTTTTTAAGTACTTTTCTTCCCTGGCATTGCTTAACTCTTGATGCTTCTCATACTGAAGCTCAGGACTCTTCAACACTCGGGGCTTCAACCAGCAGGACATGCCCTTATCTTCCAAAATGGTGTTTCTGCTCACCAGATGAATGACCTCTACGCTCTGTAGACGGAATTCATGGTGGCTACAGGCACCTGCTTGGGAACCCCCGCATAACTTGCTCAGCAGCAATCCCAGTCACCCCAAACTCTTTTTAACATCTGATGCCATCCTATTTTCACATCACAGTAAGAGAAAGAGAGGGGCAGAGAGCATCTTTTCTAACACGTATGCTTGGAAGTTCATACAGTAACCAAAGAGACAGCTGCAATGAACTGCTCTAAGTTACACATGCCTTAAAAATAACACTTCAGCATACATACATTAGTCAAAAATATTTCATGTTGTGTTAGAAAAATTACAAATTAATAACTTTGTCAAGCATGAAACTAGGTAGGCTAACTACTATGACATCCACAAACAGACGGCACCACAGCCGCCCCATGGAAAAACTCAATGGGCTTCAGCTTTGCAGGACAGAGGCAAAGTCAGATGGTGCCTGTGGCTCCAGCGCAGCCAGAGCAGGAAAGCATCTCTCCCACACTCGCAAGGTCACATGGAGGAAGAACCTGCATGTTCTGCCTAACCTGAAACACCAGACATCGGTGTGGAAAAGTGCTGAGCTCTCACAGGAAACTCACACCAGCAGCAATCGGTGTACAAGGCTGTCCTACCTATGCCCTTTGACAATCAAGTCTTCCCAGTTTCAAATGGGGCAATTACTTAATTAGAAAACTGGGTAATTAGCAGATGCTTTTGACCTTAATCTCTTTTTAACTTCAGTCTTCATCTGTTAAATGTAAGCATCATCCCACACTGCATAAAGGTTAATTAACACTTGTGGGCTACTGAGGCACTACCGTAAGTGCTGCAGCAAAGTCAATCTTGAAATTCCTGAGCTTCGATGAAAAGGAAGACTAAAAGCCTCGATATAAAAATAACATAGGGAGCCAAGCAAAGAAAACAAAGAAAACTCAAAACACTGCTTTTTAGGCAGAATCACCTTTTTGGAGTACTGACTGATCAAGCAATTAAAGGCTGCATCTTGATACTTGTATGATCCAGGCCTGAAGGACTACCTTGATTCTGGCTTTTATGTTCAGTCTTCGACTTCCCCCTCATAACACTTTTCTTTAACCATATTTCATTACTGCATAAATCTACAAAAGCCAGCAGCATTAATTGTCACTGATCTGCCTAACACAATGAATGATAATACCAACTGTATTCAGGCTCAGACAAAAGTACCTCTATCCAAAACACCACAAAGTCCAGCAAACACTGTAGAGAGTTCACGGAGAAATACGTGATCATCTCAAGCACTCTGTTTTTCCTGGAGTATTTTCCAAACTCATTTACACAGACAGGTACCCACCAGTTATCTAGCAGGCAACAAAATTGGTGTGAAGACTTGTAAATGCAAAAAAAACCCCAAAACAACGAAGGGGAGTGGGGGGAGGATAGGAGAAAAGGAAAAAGAAAAAAAAAAAAAACAAAAACAAACAAAACCAGCACTCACAGTAATCTCATTCTCCACCTCTCTCTGCACTCCTCCCTTCCCCCGGGGCCACTTATTTTTAACTGATCTTGTCAAAGCCATGATGCCAACTCCTGCCCAGAGAAGTATCTGTATATTTAGGTTATCTTTTTTTCAGAATTTAAGCCCAAATTCATACAGGTTACCGCTGATTTTTCCATGCTGTACTTCCAAAATATATTTCCAATATATTTTTTTTAGTAACATGCAAATGAAATCCAGTTTGCGAAACATTCAGTCTTTAGATTGCGACAACGCAGGGGAAGTCCTACATTCCCCGTCACTGCAGTGCACCTCCTCTGCTGCAGAACATTTAAATTCAGTAGTGTCAACATACTTTTAATCTGAAACTTACAGAAACCTCCCAACATCTCAAATATTTATGCTTATTCCGGTAACAAACTTACCTGAGTTTTTGTTTGTGGTGTGTTTTTAACAGTACACAGTACATTTTTGCCCCAGAGGAGAGCCATTTCTACTCTTTAAGCTTGCTACATTCTCATCAATTCTAGGATATAATTTCAGCAGCAGAACAGAAATCATTAAGTAAAGCATTGAAATCATGAAGTGAGAGAACAACCGGCAAAGCAACATACCTTCTTTTATGGATACAATTTATTTTTTACCATGTAATTTTTATTTGCAAGATTTTACTCATTTCAAATCTTGAAACACAAATGAATAAAATCTAGTCAAGTTAAACATTATATCTGTAAATAAAAGTGTTAGAACATTTCTGAAATTTGTTGTACTGGCTGCTTCATCCTGCTGCTTTTTTCCTTCCCCTAGGACTCATAAATAATGATCTAATTTGTAACATCAGAAAGACCGCTGTACAAACGAAGTTTCTTTGATCTCATTCTGTGCTATTCTAAGCCACCCTATCATAAATGCCACTAGACAAAACTCCATCAAGTCAGTAAGAATAGTCCTGGCCTATTTTATTAGTTTCCTTTCCTAAAGAAATGTTTTTGTCATACTGTCCACTTATGAATCTAGGTTGTACAAGTTGTGCAGCTATAAGCAGCTGCGGTGTTTCACAGGCAATAGGACGTTATCTCGTAGATTTAGCATTATGTTTACACAACAAGAGTCTCCTATTGAAATGGTGGACGCGTATATAAAAATATCAGTATTAGGGTACTGCCATATTAAAGTGATTCACTTCTTGGTATTGACATCAAACACAGAGCACAGTGTATGCTGTTCTCATCTTCCTTCATGTTTAAGGGAAAGCTGTCCAAGCCTGCCCTTTGCAGCATCATTTTGAGCTCAAAATTCATCCTTAAAATGCAGACGCTCCTGTTCACCAGCATTCCCCCCAAATTCACATTGAACCTCTCGTGGGTGCCTAGACAGCAGGACAGGATGCCGCGCTCTTCCCACGGGACAGAGCCCTGTGTCCTCTCCCAGGGAGACTGGTGACTCCCCACAGGCCCCCGACTCACTGCAGTTCAGTTTCATGGTGCTAACGCCCTCCTGGGCACTCAGAGCTCCCCTCTCCCAAAACACTCCTCTCCCCCACAGGGGAAGCCTTCCCTTTCAGCTCTGCTGGGAAGAGCAGGATCTGGCGCGTTTCTGTGCTTAGCAGGAAGGGCTTACACCAGGGGAGGGGAGAGGGACCAGGGCTGGTGTACACAGCCCAGTACTTCATGGCTCTTATCTCCAAGTCACAGGACAGGGTGATTTCAGATAAAGGTAAAACCCCTTTGGAATGGGACTTAGCAACTCACTGCCTTATCTTAGTTTCCTGGTGGTTCAGGTATATGAACTCCCTTCCACTTATTCACAGCCCTACATAGCCATTGCTTTATTATCTCTCAGTACCAGATTCCATTCAGTAAAATGTCAACTTTCTCTCCAACAAGCTAAAGTGACCTTGAAAAGTTATTGTCCTCCTTTGCATTTTCTTACTCAAAAGCTAAGGATGACAATACGCTCCCTTCCTTGTCAAAAATGAGTTCGATTAAAAGACAAGTCTTCTGGATGGGGTATTAATTCCAGGGTTAATTTTTCTCCTGTGACCACCCACCACGGCTGAGGTGCTGCTGCAGCGGGGCCAGGGCAACCAGTTGTGCTTCCATGCCCATCACGCTCTGTCCCAGTGGGCAGCATCTCCTGCAGAAGGCACCCCGTATCCCGGCTCTGCGTTGGAAACATTACACCTGCTGTTGCAGCTGGGGATGCCGTCATGCAGTCGTAAAACCTCTCCTCTTTCTTGTAGGCAAGAACAGACAGAAGGTTTGCTTTTGATATTTTAAAAAGTCCATTGTTTCTTCAGAGTGTGAGACTGAATCTCTCTAATCACAAGCTAGATCTGACATGACACTTCCAACAGCAGCCATCAAAATCCCCCTTTTTTTTACCTCCACTAAGATGCCTCTCAACTTCTGCAACTGCTTGGAGCTTTGGTACTAGAGGAACACCTCTACAACAGCTAATGCTTACTCCAGGTAGAACCAAATCAACAGCAGTTTGGGTGGGGTTTTTTGCATAGAAAAGAACCAAAATGTCTCCGTACAGACTAGTCACAGTATAGATGCTGCTAAGCTATCTGCTTAGTTTCAAGAACAAAGCACAAGCTGCACGACTCCCACACAGCCAACCTGTAAGGTGGTATCTGCAACTGCTCATCACACATTAGTCACTGTCTCCATTTCAGTTACTACAGAGGAGTAAGTATTGAGAAATAAAGGGAACATTTGCACATTGTGTGTCACAGAAAACATTTCAGACCAGACAGCAAGCAGAAATATCTATACTGGTGTAAGTCAGCAGCCGCCCTCAAAAAGGGGAACCAAGCATAAATACAATTTAAAAAATGACTGGTTCTTTAGTTAAGCTCCTTTTATTATGTTAGCAAACAAACAGTCCCAGTGAAGCTTTGAAGTTAACACCTATAAACAAGGTGTGGGTGGAAAGCATTGCTCACACCTTTCCTGCTGCTGTGGCTGCTGCTGCCTGGCAGGAGACTGACTGCCCAGTCATCGATCCTGCCATTCTGCAACATGCTGCATCTGAATAGCTGTAGAAATATTTAATGTTTATTATTTTACAAGGAAAGATACTCTTTTAAACAATTCAGACTGCAGATCTACTATCAAGTGCTGCCATGTTTTCCTTAGTAAGGACACCACCAACAATAAGTTTCTACAAACGAGTTAACTGTGAAATTAAATTAATTTAATCCACAAAGATGACAAACTCTTGAACAACATGACAGACTTTGATAAGTGAGACTACACATATATTTTTAAAAGTTATAGTTACGCTGCTTCCACAGAAATTAATACATAAAAATGAAGCCAGCTTCAATGATAATGTCAGTTGCTAATCCTGGCACTGTTATGCCTAAAATAGAAAACTCCACTGGAAAGCGAGGAATTAGGTCTCATCTTTATTTAGGCTAAGCCACAAAGCAGGTTTCAGAATCGATTCACTTGCAAGCAAATGCAAACACATGTAAACAGTGTTATGTGATGCTACAACTTATCAGAGAAAAATCCATCACTGAACAGAACATTTTGGATGACACAGGGCAAGCTAAGACCTTCTAAAATTTCATCCTGAACATATTTTACATAGAAGTCCTACAAAAAATTGAAGTGTTATAATCACTACTGATAAATCATACGAAACCATCATGAATGCGTGCATGGAATTTGCCTGCATGGGAAAAACATCTTTTTTTCACAGGGATACCTTTTCCTTCCTTCTCAAAGGATCCTTTAGGAAAATGCATGTATTTCTTAAGTGGAATGTTTGCCCAATTTTGTAAACATGGAAGGGACCGTATTTCTATCAAAGTTCCTTAAATACATCACGTTTTATAGCATAAACAAACAGATTACTTGTAAACTGTTCTCTCCACAGATGGAATCTCCGAAATGGAAAAAGTCTTCAGGGTTCTCTTCCCACTGTTTGCTACAAAGTAACAGTTTTCACGTAAAGAAAACATCCCTGCAAATAGCAAGGAATATAAGACACATCATGGATTCGTCTGGTATTGGAAAAGATCAAGTACTACAAATACTTGACAGCAAAACAAGAATTAAATCTGGTTGTGACTAAGTAACAGCAGCATCATGAACCAGGAATAAACTGCAATTTTGCCTGTTCTTCTTCCTTCTCTCCCAAAATCAAGAGATTAATTAATCAAGAACAGACTCTAATCAAAGTCTCCTCAGAAATAGGAATCTTTATGTGCTAAAATACGCAAGTTTAAAAAAAAAAAAAAAAAAGCAGGAACGTTTTGCTGTAAACGTACACTAGTACCGATGCCAGCAGACAGCCTCTCCGTTGGTACCCGACCTGCCCCACCGCCGTGTCGGCCATCGTTCCCTTGCAGACCTACCTCAAAGCTCTTCTCTTCAGTGCATCAAGTATCACTGCCAGCTTTCTACAACACATCAGGAACAGCAACGCTAGCTAAAGCCACGGAAAGAAAGTCTATAGTTTCATACAGATACACTTCAAACTAATGAAGTGAAAAATGCACTGGAAAAAGCTATACGTTGTAGGTCTCCAGTGCTTGCAATTCGGTTCCCCTCCCTTTTTAAAATCCTGGAGATTTCTGTAACTTTGTTTGATATCTGTGAGGTGAACAATCTAAAGTCATAAAATACTAGTTATTCTGAAAGCAGCAATCATCTTAAACCACTGAATTCTCCAGTTTACACTTTTAATGCTTATATTTTAAGATTAATTCCACATACACTTCTTAAACATTAGCTATACTAATTCAGCTACTCATACGTATAAAAGAACCATCCAGGAGCCTGCTATTTCTGCACAATACTGTCAGCCAAAATAACAGGATCCTTCATGCATGAAATAATCTTATCTTACAAATTTTATTTTCTTTTTAGTGTTAGTAGGAGAAAATTAAAACTAAGTTAGTATGAGCATGTTCTTTGGGCTACGACCTGGAGTATGGGCACTTAAAGTACCAGGGAGCGAGCCCAGGAGGGAGTTAACAGCATCAAAGCTTCCATGTAGTAACTACTCAAGTGCACGCTCTTACTCAAGAGTAAATGCCAGCCTGTTTAACCTACTAATCCACATTTACTAATCTACTATGTCAACATGCTGTAAATTTCCGCCTTCACTTAGCCCTCTGCAGCTTGTGTGCAAGCCCACGCTCTAAGCAGGTGTGACCATCCTTTGCAACCTGTGCCCTCTGTAGCAAAAACCCCTCGCATGAAGAGTGCTACACAAAACACAGCCTTTATACCTCTCAGAGCTGGGGAAGACCTCCCGGCCATCAACTCGCAGGCAGAAAGGACAAGTGACCCTGCTCCAGCAGCATCACTGCTCTGATGCAGAGGGAGCAGGGCCAGGAGCACAGCTTTGCCCCTGCCAGCTCCTGCTCGACAGCCCCCAAGGGCCACTTCACCACCAGCAACGTCATGTAACCCCAACAAAGAACCTGCACGTGATCAGTGCAAACCACTCAGAAATCAAAATCCACTTCCAGCTCTGATTTTTGCCCCTTTATCATCTTAAAAAAAAAAAAACAACCCAAAAAAAATCTTATTGCTTAAGACACCGTGCCACTCAAGCCATTCAGCAAACTGGTAAAAGCAATGGTGGCAACAGCATGCAAAAACCTGAAGGATCAACTTGAGGAAGGGTATGACCCCTTTGATGCATTTCATAGGTATCAGAAATCTGACTGTGGGTATTCTTATGGTTTTAAATGCTTCTGAAGAGCATCACAAGCAAACAAGGGCAAAACCTAACAAATTCATACGTTTTTAGAGCATACAAAGAACAAAAAAGAGGCTGTGAGAGAAGAGTAAAGGCAGAAGACGGCACCTAAATTCTACCTGGCTTTGTGATACGTCAGAGAATCTTTTCATCACCCAACAACCAATCGTGACTAATGACTGTCACATCTGGTCATTCCTTCTCCTTCCCTGCTCACAGAGCGGCTCTCCACGTCCAGCAGTTTTTCTGTGTTTCTTTGCAAGTTCTGCTCTCAGAGTCGCATCGCTCTGTCTCACCGCAGAACGTGCAGGCTGAAGAAGCACTTCAGTCTTGCATGCTGCAAAAGGAAAGTTTCCAATGCTGCTGCTTTCCTGATTGATGTACTTATCTGTGTGAAGCAGAGTTGTGATGTAGGGTTCACAAAGATACTTTCTCAGGTTTCTCAATCTGGACATTACTCAAAATTTGAGAGCAACGACTCAGTGCTGAGAAGTGTGTGCAGTCTAAATCTTTTTTATTTGACCTTTAATGACAAGTTTGCTGCGTCAACTGCACCTTTGATATTTCACCAGTTTTGATACTTCAGCAACTTTCAGTGTGGCTTGCAGTTACTTCACCTTGCCATTACTTTTGGTGACTGCTAAGAAAATGCAAACCGTTACCCTGCACAAGTCATCCACTATCTTCTCAGCCCCCTTTTGATGACTAATACATATTCCTAGAACTGTTAGAAGTGAGATAGACACACAAACAGG